CAATTCGAAATGGTGCTATCCTTGGGAATAATAAAACTTTGGTTGGCTGAACCAGTTGAGCTAGTAGATCCGAGATTTACTTTCTTTGGTGGGGCTGCCTTGAACATGAACATGCGATTTTAATTCCTTTTTCGACGATGTATGCTCGATCCACCACCTCTGCATAGGTTAGTAGTTTCAGAACCTCAAGCCTATCTTTGATTTTCGCATCTAATCTTGTTTCGAATTTCCTTGCTTTTTGGGCATCTGTCATAATAACATACGGTGCAAATCGGGCTAGTCGCATGAACTTACTTTCGTATTCCGCCACTGACATTGTTCCTTGCCTCATATAGCGATCTCGGTTTTCCCTTCTTTTGTGTATTGTATTCCGGACTCGGTTCTGTGGATGTGTTGTCATCTTATTCTCATTTCTATCCTTTACTCTTTATATTTGAGTCTTGGGCTGTGTTGGGCTGGTTTGAAACAGGTTGGTTGTGCTTAAAAACCCAAGGTTGTTGCCCAGATTTTGGCCTTCACGCTAGAGCGGGGCTTTTGACGCTCAAGTGGGCCCTTTATTTTTGCTTCTCCACTCGAGCAGGCGTTTTGACGCTCGAGCGTGATTTGTCATCTCTCAGTATTTTTCTCTGCAGGTCATCGGACGCTCGAGGGGGGATTTTGACGCTCGAGCGGGCCCTTTTGATTTTGTTCCTCCCCTCGAACGGGATTCTGACGCTCGAGCGGGGACCATCGTCTGTAAAAATTCTGGAAGTGTGCATCCGACGCTTGAGCAGCGCTTTTGACGCTCGAGCGTGAGTCTGTGTCTGACGCTCGAGCGGGGCGACTTTTATATTAGTTCGGGATTTCACTTTTTGGATCACTTTTCAACATTCTTTCTCTCTCTAACTTTTCAAAACCTCCATTAGAGAGCTCCTCTCTCTAGAATACAACTTCTCTCTAAGGTTTGATCTAGTTTGAGTGATCTTCCACCCTTGTCCCTTAGTAAAAAGTATAGAGCTTGGTGTGGGCTACCTATCAATTTGAAAATCTTTGGGTTTGGAGCATTTCGAATTTCTTCATCTTCTCCACCTGGTCTCATCTCTTGAGGTAGGGAAAATTACTCATTTCTATGATTTTTGACATAAACTTTTAGTCATTTTGATTTAATGTTGAAGTTGGGTAATTTGGGTGTTAGGGTTTCAAATTGTATAAAGAGGGGTTTTGTTTTTTGAGCCAATACGTGTGTATTTTGGGTATCAAATGGGGTTATTGTTGTTAATTGTTGGTATTTGAGCCTTTGGGTTAATGTTGAGAAAAGATGGAGAAAAAGCCCTAATTTTTGTTATGAATTAATTTATATAATTAATTTGGGAAAGTTATGGGAATATGAAATTAGCTTAATATGAGATGGAATGATGGAGTCGGATTTATTAATCGCTCACTTTTAAAAATTGTTAATAAATTATCTATTGATGCATTTATTATCTGTTTAGAAATAATTGCTTTGGGCTATCGATGGAGGATAGTCTTGATTGTTGTAGATACTGCATGATGATTAGGTGAATTAAAACTAATCGATTGAATATGTCATTGAATATGGCGATTGGAATAATACATCAAATATGTGTACTGATTGATCATGTATATGATAATTGTTTATATACATTGTATTGTGTGGGAGGAGATAAGAGATGTACTCCACGGTTTGGGAGGAGATAAGGGATGGACTTCTAAACTAGATGTTATTTGGGAGGAGATAGGGGATGGACTCCATTGATACAGCAAATCTGTGTATCATTCATGAAGTATGGAAGTGTTTTGATATGACATTGATACAACAAATATGTGTATCTATTGTGAATTATGGAAGTGTTTTTATTATGAGTTATAATCTCATTTAAATTGTTGATATTGGAAAGGTTTTTAACATGAGCTGTAGTCTCATGGGAATTGTTTGGCCAGGTTCTGAGCCAGGTTTATAAATTGAAATTGTTAAGTAAAAGGAAAAATGGAATGAAATATGGACATTCCTGTTATGAAATTGGGTACTGTTGTATGTTGGTTTATTTTGGTTAAACATTTATCAAATGCTAATGTTTTAGTCATTGCTCATATTATGTTTAGCATATCTCTACTGGGCGTTGGCTCACCCCATATGGGACATCATTTTCAGGTACAGGTGATATGCTGCCTCCAAGGACGTAGCTTGGGAGGTTGTAGAAGCTGAAGGCTTATTTTGTTATTATTTTGTATGTTACATGTAATTCAAGCCAAGGGCTTAATATGTTAGAGTTAGAACTCTCTTTTGTTGAACCCAAGTGTTGACTTGGAAAGTTGTAAGCCCGTAGGGCACTTACTTTTGTTGTCAACATGTAACACTTTTGTATTGAACACTCTGATAAATAAGACTATGCTTTATTCTCTTAAGTTTATCGATGTCTCGAATATATGATTTATGGGTTTATTTTGAGGGCGTTACACTTCAAATGTAGGAACTCGGAGGCCTTCTACTCCCGTAGTGATTCTGGAAAATACTTTTCATAGAACACCTCTAAGAATCTCGCCCAAGTCATGATCTTTTCTTTTTCTAAGGTGAGAAGCCACAATTCTTGCGCATCTTCCTTGAAGGTGAAAGTGGTGAAGGATACTTTATGTTCTTCTGTGTAGGGTAGGGCACGAAAAATCTTCTCCATTTTTTTAACCTAAGCTTCAGCTATCAACGGGTTTGAACCACCTGTGAACGTGAAGGGTTTAGGTCTTGGAATAGTTTAATCGTAGTTGTCCCTTCTCGATGTTCTGTTAACCCATTGTTCTGCAAGGCTTGCAAGAAACTGGTAATAGCTCTTTCCACAATCGTTTCCATTAGATCAGCTCCATTGGATGATGACTTGGTACCATTTCCATCGTTAGCCATAGCTATAAAACAATTTTAATAAATGTGGTGCATGATTTCTATTAATTACCTAAATCAAAACATATTCACATAATCTACAAAACATAGACAATGTATACATTATTCACAAAACACCGATTTTATTCATGTATAATGGTGTTGGTACATCACTTGTAGTTATGTCAATTTAGTGCCTAACCCTCCATGACAAAATGGGTTAGAACTAGGTCATGGTCAGCTCACTTGGACACCAAACACAAGGAAAAAGAAAAACACAAAACCAACAAAAGAAAGGATTTTGTTATCAGGATCTTAGGTTGAAAATAGCCATAGGTACTGTAGTTACATGTGATGCTCAAACTCCCAATCACTTTGCTTGATGCCAAAGCATCGCCATACCACCTCCATTCGGTATATGGGGATGCCTGCCTCGTAACCCCACAAATGTCGTCCTGTGATATGCACAGGTACCTCTACATACGTCATAATGTCACCAATGTCAATTTTCTAAGTATCAATTAGGTTTTGAGGAGGAGGGACTCTTGCTTGAATGTGATCACTTAAGAAGGCATTTCCTCATCGAGCCATAAACTTTAAAGGTAAAGGTGCCACTAAATAACAAGGATGTCCCCGACTCATGGCCATGCTTACTACCCGTATAGGTCCCAAAAACCTGTCTGAGGTACTCATAGCGTCAACCCTCCACCACTGTGTGTCTATTTCTGTGGGGACGGCCCTTAAGTATACTGGTCGGCCCATAAGTCGGTTGAAGGTCGGGTCTGCCTGCCTAACTATTGCTTCTGAATCACCTATTTCCTTTAGTAAGTTTGGAACGTAATTGTTATTTTCAAAAATTCCTTCAATGTCCGGGGGATCAGGCCTCTACCAAAATAAGTTGCCAAAGTTAAGTTCCGACATTGCTTGCACCATAGGATATCCAACTTAGCTATAGAAAAAGACTTATTACTATAAGGACTAAGGTAAGATTTTTATTTTTTTTTAACCATTGCCTTGATACCACTTTTGTCACGACCCATCTCAAGAACCAGGGTTGGATTCGCAACTAGCTAATTTTAAATTTCTTACATTAATTCCAAGTAATTAAATTAAATTAAATAATGTAGCGGATTAAAATAAAAGATGTAGAAAAATATCTAAAGCGTACATAGAAATTATTATTTATGTAACGATGTAACATCAGTCAGATAATGATTACAAGAAAAAAAATAAAAAATAAAAAAATGATATTCATATCAAATTTGAGGTTCTGACCCACAGGGTAAAACCATCATTCTTTAAATTTCTTCACCTGAAAGGGGTTTTAACAGCTATAAGCACATGACAGAGTGAGAAATATTATACTGAGAGCATGAGAGTATAAAATCACCATGGATAATTATTTAGGCTAAACGATTAATAGTTTGGTTCGAATAAATTATTTTAATAATAGACATATAATACAAAATCATATGAATAAAATAATTATAACTACGGTATAGAACAGAACAGAGGGTCAATGGATCCATGACGATCAGATGGTCACGAAGTGACTAATTAGAGGACCAAGGGTTGTTTAAGTTCCCCAAGACATGAGACTGTTAGAAGGTCACTAAAGTGACAATTCAGAGGGCAAGTAATTATTTAAATTCCCTAAAACATGAGAACTCTGTGGGGATACTTATTCAAAACAAATATTTATAAAATTATTATTAAATATTTTTTAAAATTTAAACAAACATATCTATAAATTTCAATTTAAATAAATAGAATTCAAAAAATAATCCATATAATTAAAATATTAATACTATCACAAAATATAAATTATATAAAATGATTCATAATAACCCAAAATATTTGTAAAGTATGTTAAGTGACTCAAACTATAATATTACTCCAACAATGATAGAGACCACTAATTTTGGAGCTCTAAAAAGATCACTAATGACATGACACTCAATAAAAAAAAAAATACAACACCAAGACCAAAATATCAAATCATTTCTAATAGAGCCCACTACCACATTATTAGTGATAGCACTAATTAGTACTCCCACTCATTTTCCATATTACTCGCTTCTTATCCACTCTTAGCCTATAGTTCCTATATGTTAAAAAAGTCTCGGCTACAGTTTTGCCTTCTCAATCACGAAAACTCTCTATATATTGAACCTCAGCTCGATTTCTTGCTGACCAGCTCCCTCTCTCTCTCTCTCTCTCTCTGTGTACACTCTTAACTGTTGTTGATTCTGACGTATCGCAATCAGAGAGGTGAACCCCCAATTAGAGAGGTAAACCCACATTACTCAACTAAATTGCGAATCTCAAGCTTAATTTTCTCTCCGATTTTCCCACTATCCGTTCATTTTCTTCCTGTTTCTCGGCATTTTCACCGGTCTGAGTAATTTACCGAAGCTTTGGTTCATGTACTTAACTTATTTGCTTTGAGATCGATATATATATATATATATTCTATTCCAGTTACTAAATTAGATCTTTCCTATTGATCAACATCGATACAGAAATTTTAGAATTTGCAGTTTTCCTGATTACTTGGTCAACTTAGATCTAATTCTCTCTATATATTCCTTTGTCTCACTCTAAATTTGATTCTTATTTTTACTATATATTGTAATTTGTAGGTGTTTTTAAAATATATATATATATATATAATAAAATTTTCTTCATATTCTGTTTGTTTTTGGGAAAAATCAGAGAGAAAAGAGAAGAAAATGCATAGAAAGGTTTTCCCCCCCTTTTTCCTCAAATTTTTATTTTATTTTTCTAAAACCAAGAATAATGAAATCATGTGAGAGGATTTTTGCTAGCTATGCTTTATGGGGGCAAAGAATACCACTAGTCCCTGTACTTTGACCCTATGTCATTGTAGTCCTGTAATTTCAATGAGCTCAATTTTGATCTAAACTTTTTATTTTGCCTTAAATTGGTCCAATTGATTTTAATTGTCAGTATTTATATATATATAGAAATTATGCACATAAATAGCATGCATCATGCTTTGGGAGCAAAATTGTAAACTTGATCAATTAAGTGACTTAATCTCAACTAACTCGGTGATTATTTTCCGTCAAAAAACCCAAATGACATTATCAATTGGACCAAATTGAGGTAAAATCTAAGGCAGCGCTTGGTAGAGTTTTCTAAATATGATTTGAGAATAGAGTTGTATTTTGAGTATATGAGTTTTGGAATTATGATTTGAGTGTAGAAAATTTGTTTGGTGAATGAGTTTTGAATTGAGTGGGAAATTTTTGATGTGACATATGATATTTGATGCAAAACTTACAACTCATAACCAAACACACAACTCAAAATTCTATTCAAAACTCATAAAATTTTTAAAAAATTCCGAATTTTTTTTTATTTAAAATATAAAAAACAACAGGTGCCAATTGTTATAAAAAAAAAAAAAAAATGTTCCGGTCAACTGGACGGACATCCGGTTAGCCCAAATTTTTCCGTCTTGGAAAGAGTTTTCAAAAATGGGTGTGGAATTAATTTTTGAAAACTCTAAACAAACAAAACACTCAAAACATGGGGTGGAAATGTGTTTGGAGAGCTTCTCATAACATAGCCTAAAATTGAGCCAATTGAAACTCTAGGGACCAAAATGACACAAGCAATGTAGGGACTACCTGTGTAATTTGCCATTTTTTGTTTTATTAAAGTCAAAGTACCTCATGCTTTTGCAATGCTGCGAGTCTCGCTATTTTCATGGGTCACACAAGTTTGAGCTCAGATGTTAGCAATCTTGTGCTCTTGTTTTTCAAAAACTGATATATGAGTGTTTATTTGACTCATACAGATATTGATTCACATATATCATCATGGCTCCAGCAGCGGCAGCAGATTCAATAAAGCCTAGAGGTGACATATAAGCTCCATTGATATTATTTGAAAAATTCATTAGTTAGCTCTAATCTGTTGATGGTGTATTAATATGTGCTTCTCTTATATAATATTCATAGTTTTCTGTTTTCACTGGTTCATCACTAATTGACTATGCTTGAAGCATTAATGATTGTTCATCATTGTACTGTAATTATGCTTGAGGTGTAATTTATTTTGAAAATGAGTCTTGTGAATGAGTGTTCTAAGGTCATTGTTTAACAAAGCTTAAAATGATTATATCAGTGTACATTCTTTACATTGTGCACTTTCACAGAGAATGTTTAATTATTTCAAGCTGGGCACTCGTTAAGAAAATTGTTTGCAAAAGGATGTTCTACTGGAAACTGCTTGTTAGTCTTTAGATGTATGTTGCTTAAAATCAGTCTACAGTGGAGTTTGATATGCTTTTTGGGCTCACCTAGGATGGTTCACTTCATTATGTGTGCATGCATATGCACATGCACATGCGCATACACTTATATTTTTAAGAAAATATCTTAGGACTTGAAGTCTTTGATGTTGTGATTCAATGTTTTGGTATTTATATTATGTTGACTACTGAAATTACTCAAAAAATGAAATTCAGTAGTGTTCTTGTCTCTGTCATGATATATTTTCATGTTGCTAGGTTGGTTATGTGCTTAAGAGGTATTAAGTTTACCTGTCATTTACATGTTACAATTAAGAGATATTTGAGTGTTTTAAGTTTTCAATCTGGTAGAACAATTTCTTGCTGTTTAGTTTTTAAAATAAAAAATAATAATAATAAAAATAATAAAAATAAAAACTGGATTATATTTGCATTGCAGATGTTTGTGTTGTTGGTGTTGCACGTACCCCTATGGGTGGATTTCTTGGCACTCTTTCATCTTTACCAGCCACTAAGCTTGGATCTGTAGCTATTGAAAGTAAGATTACAACCTTTTCTTCTATCTTCCTAGATGGTTCTCTGTTATTTCAAAATTTATATTTTCTTTTTCATTATTTCAATTGTTCTTACCAACTTGTAGGTGCTCTTAAAAGGGCTAATGTTGATCCATCACTTGTACAAGAAGTTTTCTTTGGCAATGTTCTCAGTGCAAATTTGGGGCAGGCTCCTGCTAGGCAAGCAGCATTAGGTGCAGGGATACCTAATACAGTAATCTGTACCACCGTTAATAAAGTTTGTGCATCTGGGATGAAAGGTGTGCGCTGAATCTTGAACCAGCATTTTCTTTTCCAGTAGAGCTATATCAAAGTGTAATATCAATGTTTTATTTTTGTGATTGCAGCAACTATGCTTGCAGCACAGAGTATCCAGTTGGGCATCAATGATGTTGTTGTGGCTGGTGGCATGGAAAGCATGTCTAATGTCCCAAAATACCTAGCTGAAGTGAGGTTAACGTTCCCCTCTCATTCACTGCATTACTTCTCATCAAACTCAAGTTGAACTTTGTACTTGTCAATTCTTTCATTTTCAAAACTAATGATGGGATGCATTATAATGTTTTAGAAATTTTAAGGAAAGAGATGAATGCTAAATTGGCAATACTTTAAGTCTGATTGTCACCTAGATGGTTAAATTAATAGTTCTTTTGTCTTTCCATTTAAGCTACTTGACAAATGAGAAAGCATTTTGGCATGGTTCTCTTGCTGATGAAGACTCCAACGTGGTTCTTCCACAGAGGACCTTCCTTCTATTCGAAGGAAAAGAAGAAAGTGAAGATGTCAAAAACTAGTGATGAATGAGCATTTAAGCTACTTACAGTTGTTGCTTCTACAAGGCATAAAGTCTCGTTAGCGCATGTTGCTAAAAAAACCTAGTGTTGCAAACTCTGCTGAATTTACAACCTAATTGCAGGAAGGGATCCCGACTTGGACACGATTCTGTTGTTGATGGTATGCTCAAAGATGGATTGTGGGATGTTTATAATGATTATGGAATGGGGGTTTGTGCTGAATTATGTGCAGAACAACATACAGTAACAAGAGAAGAGCAGGTTGGTTATAAACCCACTTATTGATTTTTAGAAAAATTTACCTGGCAGACGTTCTTTATTTTATTTTCACATACTAATGTGTAACACTTATTTTTGTAGCCATTTCGTTCATTTTTATGTTCAATTATGCTAATTTATACTCACTTATTTTTCTGATTATGAAATTCTCCATTCACAATTATTCATTCTTTTGGATTCCCCCTCACATGAAGCATTGTTGCACAAATAGTTTTCATCATTTTTCATACATAGAATTTCTATTAATAATATCTGGGTGATTTTTGCAGGATGATTATGCTGTTCAGAGCTTTGAGCGTGGTATTGCGGCTCAAAATGGTGGTGCCTTTGCATGGGAAATAGTTCCGGTCAGATAACTAGTGTATAGTAACTTGAGGAACCCATGAAATTTCTTGTAAATCACCATGTAAACCGTAACCTGATGCTGTGCAGGTTGAGGTTTCTGGAGGAAGAGGAAAACCATCAACAATTGTTGATAAGGATGAAGGTCTAGGAAAGGTGATTCATATTACAATTATGTCTAAAAATAGAAGATATATCGTATATGTAATATTTATATATATAGAGAGAAAGAAAAAGAATAATATGTGGTATCAGTCTGCATCGTCTGCCTCAGTGGGTTGATAATATTTACATTTGTTGCCTTTTTTGTGTTGCCAGTTTGACGCTGCTAAGTTGAGGAAGCTCCGACCGAGTTTCAAGGAGAATGGAGGTTCTGTCACTGCTGGCAATGCTTCTAGCATAAGGTTTATTACTTCTCTTTCTTTCTCCCTTTAATCCTTTAAATTTAATTATATTTGTTATTGTTTTACTTGAGTAAGCAAGGGGGTTCTTGTCAGTAATAGTGCTTAATGTCACTGTGGTAAATCCAAATTTAATTCTCTTTCCAAAACATTGCTATGATTTATGTAAGAACTTAATTCTCGTACATTATCATATTCGGAATTATGGGGTACTCTCAATCATTTTATTACCTATTTTTTTCGCTCAGACATGCTTATTGGTCTTTCCTCTATTATTAGTTAAAATTCTGAATATAAATTATTGCATATTTTGGGATGGATATTGTTGTTCTGTTTCTTGGTTCCATTGAAGTGGTAAGGTTAGAAATTATCTGCAACATTTTACTGAACAGTAAAATTGTTTACATTGACAGTGATGGTGCTGCTGCATTAGTCTTAGTGAGTGGAGAGAAGGCACTTAGGCTTGGGTTGCAAGTGATTGCAAAGATCACAGGATATGCTGATGCTGCACAGGTACTTCACAAATATATGGCAATCTGAATAAAATGCTGGAGGCTACTATCAATATCAGCAAGAGAATTTTATTTATTATTTATTTTTACATTCCTCATTTCCACTTCTAAATTTCTATCATTGTTTGGGTTTCATGTTCTTGGGCTGAAATGAGATATGCTGTGCAGGCACCAGAATTATTTACGACTGCTCCAGCCCTTGCAATACCAAAAGCTATTTCAAATGCTGGTTTGGAGGCTTCTCAGGTTGATTACTATGAAATAAATGAAGCCTTTGCAGTAAGATTCCATGCCTAATTAGTATTGTGGAACTAGCAACTCATTACCCAAATATCATTTTATGAATCTTTTTTGTTGTCACGTGCTCTGTGCAGGTTGTGTCTCTTGCAAATATGAAATTGCTGGGACTTAACCCAGTGAGTTCTTCTTCCAAACCACAATTATGTGTGTGCGCTTGTGGATTCTTCGATCAATGATCTTGTGCAAATTCTGAGAATGGGTTCCATGTGCCTCTTCATTTCATTATTGCTTCTCTTTGCCTTCTAGAATGTCATTGGTTTGCTGGTTGGCCTTGTCCTGCTTGTTAATCACCTTACTAACTTTGCTTTGTAGGAAAAAGTGAATGTGCATGGTGGAGCTGTATCTTTGGGCCATCCTCTCGGTTGCAGTGGAGCCCGTATCTTGGTCACACTTTTGGGGGTATATTTCTACTGAACTGCTGTTTTATATTATGCAATATTTACTTCATAGCAATTCTTGGTTCTGAGGTTAGATAGGCATCTCTCTCTCTCTCTCTCTCTCTAGTTTTCTTAGGGCTGCATTAAGAGTTGTTTTGTTGATCTCATCTCTCTAATTGTTTCACATGGTTGTTAATTCGAAGTGTAATTTTTAGGTATTGAAGCAGAAGAATGGAAAATATGGAGTTGGCGGTGTTTGCAATGGTGGAGGAGGTGCATCAGCCCTCGTTGTAGAACTTGTGTAATCTTTTTATGGTGTTTGGTAAGTCTCATTAATAACATATTCAACTAATATATCCTCATCACTTCTTTTTTATCCTTAGGCTCTGTTTGTGGTGCAAGAAATCATTCCTTGGAAAATCATAGAATCAATTAAGTATAGTGCAACTGATTGTTGTTTTTCTTGCCAGGCCAAATTATGAGTGTGGAGCTTTGCAAAGATGAATCCTCCATTGCTCTCTCTCTCTCTCTCTTTCTCATGTTAAGATCAATGTTCAATCTTTTCCATTTATCATTTCCAATATGAGCATCAATGAATTGTATTGTTTTATTTAGGAAAAAAAGGGTGGATTCAATCTTCTTCTCCTCTGGGGACTTGATCTACCATGTTATGTTTGCTTGATAGAAGAGATGAGATTTGTGATCTCTATTGCATGAACTGTGCTGTGTTAGCTTTACAATTGGATTTTATCATTAGATATATGAAAATAAGATAGGATAATGTTATATAAATAGAATTTTTGCATATAAATATTCGAACCCACATGAAGTTCTTATCATATGTGAGAAAAAAAAAATTGACTGACCTTTATGTTGCTTTGATTGAGTTAACTTGAACATGTTACTTTGATGAATGGAATAATTATCGAGTGTCGAGAGGGTATCACGTAGTAATGATGTATAATAGTACCCTTCATATTTTTGTTGAGGAATTAGTACCCTCCATATAGTGAGAGAAAAAAAATTACTTACAAAAATCTTATCTACTAGAAGCTTAGAACTATGTATGAAATTTTTTCTTAATTGAAAATTGTAAAGGTGAGAAATTTTTTTAAGTGATAATAAAATGAAAACACAATTTAAAATAACACAAATACAAACAAATTCGATAGTTTGGTTTATAAACATAAGTCTACAAAACTAAATTGGAAGGAGAGTGAGAGACATTGAGGCACCGTTTGGGAAGATGAGTTTGTGGCTTTTTTGGTTATTTTACCTACAAAAGGCAAAATATGTTATTTTAGTCACAACAAACAAAACATTACATTCAATTTATAATCATTATATTCTTTTTTTACAAAAAAAGTTAAAAAATCTTTTCTAAATCAAGTTTTTTAATCCAGATTAAAATAGTCAAAAAAATTAAAAAATCGTAAAGTTAATTCACTTCTCAAACGAAGCCCGAAGGTTACACATTGTCTTGGTATTTTTTAAAGAGTACATAAGGACAAATTTAGAGATAAAAATAAATAAAAAAAACAGTGTGAATAAAAGAGGTGTGGATATCAATAATGAAAAAAAACTTACTTTTAGGGCAACTCTAAAATATTTAAAAATTTCATTAAAAAAAAAATTCAAATTCAAAATTCAAAAATTATTTTGAAAATTTCAAAACCAAATAAAGTTCTTATTTATTTATTGAAATTGTGCTGAGAGGAATCTCTTAGAGTAACTTCTCAAAAAATATTTCTTGAAATTGGTGCTTACAAAACATTTATGTTATAGGTAATTGCACCCCCCGTGGAATTTTTTTTTTTAAAATTACATGTTCGAAAAAAATTATAATAATTAAAAAACATTTATTTTATAGGTAATTGCACCCCAGTGGAATTTTTTTTTAAAAAAATTACACATTCATAAAAAAAAGTTATAATTATAATTATAATTATTAATATTTATATAATTTATCATTTATTTGTAATTATTTTTTAAAAATTACACTGATTTGATCTTTTTTCTTTATTTTAATGAAAAGAATTGTATACAAGTTAAGAACTCAAAATAATTATCATTTGGCCCCATAAGCTATTTTAGTGAACTTTGGCCCCCTTGCTGAGTGCATGAGATCTCTACTTCGTTTTGATAATTAAGAAAAAAAGTCAATTTATTACTGCAACTTATTTGAGTTTTATCATCTTTTTTATTTTTTTAAAACATTTTTTAAAAAAATGAATAAAATTAAGCTTGTTTGGTTTCGTTTTTCTAAAAACTATTTTCAAAAAATTCTACTTTTTTATTTTTCGTATTTTTTTTATTTTTAATGAATTTTTTTAATATTTTAAACAATTTTTTTAATTTTTAGATATACCTAACATAAATATACTTAAAAAGTAAAAAATTTGTGAAAAAAACATTTTAAAAATTCACTAAATATCAAAAATACAAAAAAAAGAAAATTCAATACATTTTTTGTATTTTTATGTATTTATTAATTTTTCAAAATATTTTTCACAAATTTTTTACTATTTAGATACATCTAAGTAAGGTGCATCTAAAAAATTTAAACAATTTTTTTAATTTTTAGATATACCTAACATAAATATACCTAAAAAGTAAAAAATTTGTGAAAAAAACATTTTAAAAATTCACTAAATATCAAAAATACAAAAAAAAGAGAATTCAATACATTTTTGTATTTTTATGTATTTATTAATTTTTTAAAATATTTTTTCACAATTTTTTTACTTTTTAGATACATCTAAGTAAGGTGCATCTTAAAAACTAAAAAAAATGTTTAAAATTTTAAAAATATTCACTAAAAACAAAAAAAAATACGAAAAATAAAAAAATCTGTTTTCAAAAAACTTAATTCAGAAAACTCAAACCAAACACACTGAATTTTTCAAAATAGGCCTAAAACTGTATCCAGACTATGGGCTATTTTGGGAAGTTGGCTTTTAGTCACTTTTTTTGGTTTGTAGCAAAAGCCAAAAGTTGGCTTTTTTGTCTTTTTTTTTCATTTGGGAAGTTGGTTTTTAGCCAATGGTGAAATTACAATTTTACCCTCATAGGTCAAAATGTGTTACATAGGTGAAGTTGTAAATATTTTAAATAAATGGGAGTAGTTTGGTCATTTTATTATGATTTGACATCATCAACAAACATTAATAAAAAAAGTCGAAACTCACTTTTTACCAACTTTCCAAATCATTTGTCTAAAAAAGTCAAAAGCTTGGTTAAAAGTCAAAAAGTCACTTTTTACCATCTTCCCAAAATAACCCTATAACGTAACGCCGTTAAACGCCGTTGGACTGTGGACCCCACATAGACCCTCTCTCTCACATGGCTTACCTGGCTGTCCTCTGCGGCCCACCTCTCGAGTCGACCCAGCTGTCCCCTCTCTCTCTCTCTCATCTGGCTTTGTATGGGGACTTGATTATTTTAATTAGTTTTTTTGATTTTTTAAAATTATTTTAATTTGATTAAAAAAATTGTTTAACTTTTTAGGATTTATTTTTTAGAAAATTAATTTATTTTTCGTATTTTTTTATTTTACTGAATTTCTTTAATATTTTAAGTATTTTTTAATTTTTAGATATACTTAACATAAATACACTTAAAAATATAATATTTGTAATTTTTTTAAAATTCACTAAATATCAAAAATACAAAAAAAATAAAAATTCATAACATTTTCATATTTTTATATATTTATTGATTTTTTAAAACTTTTTTATAAATATTTTACTTTTTAAATAAATTTAAATAAAATACATTTAATTTAAAAAAAAAACTGTTTAAAATTTTAAAAATATTCACTAAAAATGAAAAAATACGAAAACTAAAAAATTTAAATTTAAATTAAAACCAAATACACTGATTTATTTTTTTAATTGATTTAATAATTATAAATATATATATATAATAATTATAAATTAAATATAATATTTTATCTTTTTAAATATTTTAAGAAAAATTACTCATAAATCCTATTTGGAAAAATGTTAGTCCATTTAGTCCTACATATTTTTTTATAAACCATTTAATCCTTTTTATTTGTAGTATGTATTATTGATTTGATTTAGTAATATTATAGTTTACTTGTTTGCTTTTTTTTTGAGATTTGATTTTGATGTTTTTATGGGATTTGGGTGTATGTGAGTAAGGCCAAGTTTGGCATCCTCAAAAAAATTCAAAAAGTCAAAAAGTCAAAAAGTCACTATCCTATTTAAGTCACATCATCTTATTTAAGTCACATCACCTCTCTAACCCATCACTTTAAACCCAACCCAAATCCAATCTATGTTTAATAAAAAGTCAAAAAGTGCACTTCTTTAGTCTTCCCAAATTTGGCCTAAGATATAGTTTAACATTTCCATTTTTTATGGGATTTCGTGAAATGATTGTGGGGATTATTGATGTAACCTACTTGTTAATGCTAACATTTCCACAAAGCGTATTCACCCACTAAAAAGTATAATATTTCATTGTAACACTCCAATATAACACTAAAAAAAAAATATATCTTAGTGCAATAACCCAATGTAACACATAAAAAAATTCATTACTGTAAGTTTCTCAAACGTAGTACTCCAATATAACACTCCAAAAAAACTTCTTAGCATAACACTCCAAAGAACTTCTTAGTGTAACACACTAAAAAAACTCCTTACGCACCGTTTGTGAAGAGCTAAAGTAGGGTTTTTTTGGCTGTTTTAGCCACAAAAGACAAAATAGGCTATCTTAGCCACAAAAAATAAAATATCACATCCAACCCATAATCATTATACTCTTCTCTTACAAAAAAATTTAAAAAAGCCAAAAAGCCAAAAGCTCTTCCCAAACTAAGCTTTTAGCCCAGCCTAAAATAGTCAAAAAAGCCAAAAAGTCAACCCACTTTCCAAACCAACCCTTAGTGTACTTTTTCCAAACGTAATACTCTAATATAACATTTCAAAAAACCTCCTTAGTGTAACATTCTAATGTAACACACAAAAAACTCCTTAGTGTAATTTTTCTAAATGTAACACTCTAATATAATATTCTAAAAAAACTCCTTAGTGTAATATTCTAATGTAACACACAAAAAACTCCTTAGTGTACTTTTTTCAAACATAACACTTCAATATAACATTCCAAAAAAATTTATTAGTGTAACATTTTAATATAACACACACAAAAATACACTTTGGTATACTTTCCCCAAACGTAACGCTCCAATGTAAAACACCTCCCCTCCCCCAAAAAAAAAAAAAAAAATCTTAGTGTACTTTTCCTAAACATAACATTCCAATGTAACATTAAAAAAGAAAGGATGTACGATTTTTCAAATCATTCTAAAATGAATACAAATATTTCTTAGTAAGTTTTAGGCAAATGTATAGTTTCAAACTATGAGTGTTATGTTTGAAAAAAGTACACTAATAAGTTTTTTTTAGTGTTTTTGTGTATTATATTGGAGTATGTTACATTGAAGTGTTACGTTTGGGATTACATTGATTAGAGTGTTATATTTGCGGAAAATACACTAAGTTTTATTTTTTATTTTTTATTTTTATTTTACATTAGAGCATTCCGTTTGGGAAAAGTACATAAAAGATATATATATATATATATATATATTTTAATATTACATTATTACGTTTGGAAAAAAGTACACCAATGAGTTTTTTAATGTGTTACATTGAAGTGTTACGTTATTGGAGTTAGGGCTGCGCAAAATACCGCCCAATCCGCTAAAACGGCACCGATCCGTATCTATCCGCACCGCTTTAACCACTAACCGCGGTTTAAACTTTAAAATTTATAATCCGCCAACCGAACCGCTCCGCTCCACTATAGTTAATACATATATATTTTTTAATCTCCAATGAAATATCAATGTAAAAATGAATGTGAGAGAGATTTAAGATAAGAAATTTATTACAAATTAGTGGTTATATATATGAAACATATTATGTAAAATTACTTTGTGTTATATATTTAAAAAGTATTATACAAATTAGTGTTATATATTATGCAAATGTATGATAATTAGCTAGAATATTCTTCAATTCGCCAATCCGTCAAAAACCGTCCAAACCGCAATTTGTCAATCTGTTAATCCGCCAACCCGTCATTCGATTTGTAAATTTACTCTCAAACCGCCTGAACCGCACCGCGCATACCCCTAATTGGAGTGTTACATTAGAGTGTTAGATTTTTGTTCGTAATGTGGGATTTATTCTAGAATGAGAAAAAAATCTAAAACTTCTACAACGCAAATTGTCTAAATATGTAATTTTACATTTTGAGAAACTCACTTTTATTCCTAAAAAATTAAACCCAAACATGTAAGTGACTACCTTTTTATGCAATTTCCACTTTAATGAGACCTTTGAGTTCATAAGAAAAAAAATGAAGGACTAAACAATTCACAATATCATATTTTGAGACTTATTCAGGATTCGTTGGGCAAGATGGTTTGTGGCTAAAATAGTCACAAAAGACAAAATAAGCTATTTTACCCACAACAAACAAAACATCACGTCCAATTCATAATCATTACACTATTCTCTCACAAAAAAAGTCAAAAAAGTAAAAAAGCTAAAAAAATTCTTCCCAAACTAAGCTTTTTAGCCCAAGCTAAAATAGCCAAAAAATCTAAAAAGTCAAAAAGCCAACCCACTTTCCAAACCAACCCTCAGTGTGTTTGGTTTGAGTTTTTTGAATTAAATTTTTTGAAAACTAAGTTTTTTGGTTTTCGTATTTTTTTGTTTTTAGTGATAATTTTTAAAATTTTAAACATTTTTTTTTCGTTTTTAGATGCACCTTATTTAGATGTATCTAAAAAGTAAAAAATTTGTGAAAAAATATTTTTAAAAATTAATAAATACATAAAAATATAAAAAATGTACTTAATTATCTTTTTTTTTTGTATTTTTGGTATTTAGTGAATTTTTAAAAAAAAAATTTCAATTTTTTTTGCTTTTTAAATATATTTATGTTAAGTATATCTAAAAATTAAAAAAATTACTCAAAATATTAGAAAAATTCAGTAAAAATAAAAAAATATAAAAAATAAGAGAATAAAATTTTTTGAAAAGTATTTTTGAAAAATGTACTCCCCCAATATTTTTACCTATTATACCAAGCTAAAATAGGGACTGAAAAAAGCTTCCATTTATAGGCGTTGGAGGCTATTTTAACTCATCACATAGGCCTTCCAAACAGAGCCTTCCTCGTTTTGAAAAACTCTCTGGGGAATCTGTTGAGGGAGGAGCAAAAGAAGAGGCTGCAATTTTAGTTGTTTAACTTCTTTCTCTCTCTGCGATAACATGGCGGTATAAAGCTCTCTCTCTCTCTCTCTCTCTCTCTCTCTCGCTCTCGCTCACAAGAACCAGTTGTAAATGTATGTATACATATATTGTTAGTTGAATATGTATATGTATATGTATATGTATATGTATATGTATATATCTCTATTCATATCTTCTTCTTCTTCTTTTTTTCTTTTTCTTCATCCTTTGATTTTGAGACTGTTGATTTCTCCAATTCGATCAGTTTTTTTTTTTTTGATAAATAATCTCCAATTCGATCAGTTTTCGCCAGTAATGTTTAGGGTTCGTTTAGGGTTCGTTTAGGGAAGAACTTTGGCATATTTTAGCAATTGGATTAAAAGTCAAAAACCTGACTTTTTGGGTTTTTTATCGCATAATCCCTTTACTTTTTTTAATTTTTTCAAAAGAAATCAAAAAAAAAAAAAAGCTTTTAACCTATTTTCCTGACTCTCGCTCTTTCTTTTCTTTTCTTTTCTTTTTTTTTTCTTTTTTTTTTTAGTTTAGAAAGAATTTTTAATTTTAATTTTTTGATTTTTGTGAGGATTTTAATATTAATTTTTTGTCTTTTTGTGGGAAAAATAAAATGATTATTTAATTTATTTTGTCTTTTTCTGTTTTTTTATTTCAACTTAAACCCAATTCCCTTGCCAAATGAGGTCTTCGGTTGTGTTTGGTTTTAGCTTATAATGTGAGATGAAATAGAATGATCAATTTTTAGCATCTATTTGCATTGTAATTTTTATTTTTAGTTCAACTTTGATTCCAGTGCACCAATTTCAGTGAGGGATTGCTTAGGTTTAAATAAGTTTTTTTTTTTGGCTTGTTTGAGTCACATTAATATTTTTATTTTTTTATATATCTTTTCATAATAAATAAAAAAAAGGCAACTTATTTCGTGTATTATATACAATTTGCCAATACTAGTTGTACATTTCGTGTGTTCCTTAGAATGCTTTTTTGGTTCCTGCTTCTGCTGATATTCATGGAAGATACAAAAAATTTATTTTTGAAAATTTTTAGATTACTTTTTCCCCAAAACAGAGAAAACAATACGAAATTATAGAGTTCTTCATTTTACTAGTTTTTGAAAAGAAATCAGAAACAGATTCTGAAAACTAAACCAGACATTGGTTGTGTTTTCATTAATTTTTTCTTTTTCCTTTGTGTTTTTTGAAACAAAAATAATGAAAAGTTTGAAACACTCTTGTCCTTTTCATTTTTGTGCCAAAATCAAAAATTTGAAAACAATTTTTTGGTATTTCTTTAAAAGTGGGTGTTTTCAGATTATTTTCCAGAAAACAGTTTCTGAGACTGGTGGCCAAACAAGTTTTCTGCGGATTTTGGGCAGGGCTATTGCTATTCTGTTGATGTCGAAATAATTGATAACTAAATATAAGTAGTACTTGGTTTCTCACTTTCTCCTTAACCTTAAATTTTATCCTCTTTGAATTTTGGATGTATTGGATCACAAATGGCACATTGTAAACTATATGGTTTTTGAATGCATGCATGTGTATATACAAGTTTTTCAATTTGCATCGGCCTTTACTCTGATTGATGTTATGAACGTCTCTCTCCTTTCTTTGAGTTCAATTCGTGCACTTAACATTTTGTTTAGACTTTGTTGCGGATCTTGGGCACACCAGGGGGCACTCACAAGCAAAAAAAAAAACAAGACTTTTAACGTGGTTCGGCAAACCGGCCTACGTCCACGGGAGCGATGTTGTTATATATCAACAAATGGAGGAGATTACACTCTCAACTCACTGTCTCTCTATATAACACACTCTCTCACACTCTCTGATACACAAACAGAATATAGCTCTCACTAGCTCTCTCTGTTTTGTGCCTCTCTCTCAGCAGTGTGTTTCTCTCTTGCTTGCTATGTTTGCCGTGTATTCAACTCACCATCACCATTCCATTTTATACACCAAAACAGAAGGTGGAGGAGGCCTTATGGGTGTGTTGGTTGCCAGCCCAATATTCTCCTTTGAGCTGCTGTCCAGTTGAAAGCTTTGTCCCACCATGTGAAGACTTCACATGGCCAACTCCATGCTTTCTCCTTTGTTGCTGGCGCATGGCAAGCCTCATGGCTGCCAACTCAAGCCTCATGACTTGCCAACTCATGCCAACCTCTTTTGCCTTCCTTTTACCATGTGGGTTGGCCACCCTTCCATGTGGCTGCCAACTCAATTTGGGTTGATCTCCTACAAATCACCTCCTCAACCCATATGAGGTGATCCATAATAGCACCCCCTGCCTGGAGTGCCCGGCACCCCCTCATTGGGGTGCCATGCAAAGCTTACTTTGCAACTCTTTGAGATGGCATCTCTCCCTTCCATCCAGTCTTGGAGAGATCCCAATATGTTTCTAATTCAGGAGCAAAAGAAACTTTCTTCCCTGGGACATGCTTTGCTGTCTTGGTCTCTTTGCTCTGAGCTGTCTTTAAAATTGGCCGCAATGGCTCCGTCTTGTGCACCTCCGAACTGCCTCCATGCGTTCTTGTACACTTTGGTTGCCATGTCTGCTGGGCCCTATGTCTCTTCTGTGCATGTCTTGTACGTCTTGCCCGGTAAGTGACAGTAGCTCCGTCTGTCACAACCTTCTCCACAAGCCTGTACAGATTCCCCTCCAGTCGTCCATGTAGCATCACCGTATCTCCATGGATGACTTTGAGATTTCCTTTGCTAGATGTGAAGCTATAACCCTTCATGTCTAGCATACTTAAGGAAATTAGATTCTTCTTCAGTCTTGGCACGTGTCGGACTCCATCCAACGTAAAAATTTTTCCATCTTCCATTCTCAGCCGTAATGTTCCCATGCCAACAATCTTACTCACAGTGTTGTTAGCCACTCGAACAATACCTCCATCCTTGGCTTGGTAGGTAGAAAAAAGTTTCTTATCCATGCATATATGATATGTGCTTCCGGAATCTAAGATCCAGTCAGGTTTCGTCATACTCGACGAAACTGTAAATGCATACTCATCCTTAGCATTTACTGCAGCAGCGACATTTGATGAGCTCGCCTGTTCCTTGTGTGCCTTGTCCTCCTTGAGCTTTGCACAGTCTTTTATGAGGTGATCCTCCTGATCACAGTAATAACACTTTCTCCTGAAGCCTAACCTTGATTGCGAACGTCCTCTTGATTTGGATCTACCCCGTCTATCATTGGACCTACCTCTGCCTTGCTCATTTTCTGAGGCAACCATGGCATTTCCTTCTGGGTGTTTGCTACTGCTACCTTCCTGTTTCTTCATCGACTCATGAGAAATGAGCGTAGCAATCACCTCATCCAGTCCAAGAGCATCCTTCCCGTACAATAGAGTTGTCCTGAGATGCTCATATGATGCAGGTAGAGAGACCAACAAGATCATAGCCCTATCTTCCTCCTGGGTCTTGTCTCCAATGGTGTCCAATTCCATTGTGATCCTATTGAACTCGTCCAGATGTTCTGTGAGGTTCGCACCTTCTGGCATTATAAGTGTATATAGCTACCTCTTCAGAGATAACCGGTTTGTCAAAGACTTTAACTTGTACCTCATCTCTAACTTTGCCCATAGCTCCGCCGGATCTACTTCACTGATGACTTCCCGGAGTGTGTTGTTCCCGAGATACAACTGAATTGTACTATTTGCCAATTCCCTCAACTCCTCCCACTTGTCATCCTTCATGTCTTCCGGTTTGTTGGACTTTTTGAGAAGAGCTTTCACCAGACCTTCTCGTGTTAAAATGTTTTTCACCCTTTGCTGCCACAGGGTAAAGTCATTACTACCATTAAAAGGCTCAATCATGAAACTTGCGCCTTTTCCTGCCATTGTAAATTTCTTCCCTTTTTAAAGAAATTCCGATTTAAGAATCTGACCGTACGGATGGGTCCGGAATATTTCAAATAGTTGGAACGCACTATTGGATCGCCAAAAAACGGACTCCGAATGGCCTAGATCTAGCCAAAACAGTTTCAACGGTTCAGATTTGCTGAATCTGGTGCGCCTGAGAAGCACCAGATAATTCCTCCGGATCGGCTGGTCAACGGCGCAGTCAGCGGCTCGGTCAACGGCGCAGGGGCGCGGTCAACGGCGGCTCAGCGGCGCGGCTTGGCTGGCGGCGCGGCTCCGGCGCGGCTCGGCCTGGTCAGCGGCGCGGTCAACGGCTCGACGGCTCGGCTCGGCTCAGGATGACGTCAGCCTGACGTCAGCTTCACGCGCGCCCCCACTCGTCTTCTTCCTTCGTCGGCGCGTGGGGCGCGTGGGTGAGAGTGGCCTTCACTCTCGATATTCAGGTGGCGCGTGGCGGCGCGTTAGAGCTCCGATTGGCCTGTGGTTTGAAGTTTTGGACTCCTCTCCTCCTGACCTTCCTCCTGGTATGCTCAAAAGTGGATTTCGACCACTTCGAAATCTGGACACTTTCGGAAAAAACTCGATTTTTCTCCACCCGGGCTCTGATACCAATTGTTGCGGATCGTGGGCACACCAGGGGACACTCACAAGCAAAAAACACAAGACTTTTAACGTGGTTCGGCAAACCGGCCTACGTCCACGGGAGCGATGTTGTTATATATCAACAAATGGAGGAGATTACACACTCTCAACTCACTGTCTCTCTATATAACACACTCTCTCACACTCTCTGACAAACAGAAAATAGCTCTCACTAGCTCTCTCTGTTTTGTGCCTCTCTCTCAGCAGTGTGTTTCTCTCTTGTTTGCCGTGTATTCAACTCACCATCACCATTCCATTTTATACACCTTGGAGTAGGTGGGAGTGCCATTGGGTAGCCTCCATGCTTGACTTCGGCAGCCTCCTTCTTTGACATGGTTGGTAGCCTACTTCCTTGTTGACCAACCAAGGTGTGTTCACAAGACAATTTCCCCTTCACATGGGGTGAATTCAACAAATCACCCCCTCAACCCATGTGAGGTGATCCACTGCACACACTGCTGCTAATCTTGTCACGCCCAAATTCAACAAAGTCTGCATCTCTTCACTGAGATGCTTGCACCCCCTTGCCTGGAGTGCCCGGCACCCCCTCACTGGGGTGCCATGCAAAGCTTACTTTGCAACTCTTTGAGATGGCATCTCTCCCTTCCATCCAGTCTTGGAGAGATCCCAATATGTCTCTAATTCAGGAGCAAAAGAAACTTTCTTCCCTAGGACATGCTTTGCTGTCTTGGTCTCTTTGCTCTGAGCTGTCTTTAAAATTGGCCGCAATGGCTCCGTCTTGTGCACCTCCGAACTGCCTCCATGCGTTCTTGTACACTTTGGTTGCCATGTCTGCTGGGCCCTATGTCTCTTCTGTGCATGTCTTGTACGTCTTGCCCGGTAAGTGACAGTAGCTCCGTCTGTCACAACCTTCTCCACAAGCCTGTACAGATTCCCCTCCAGTCGTCCATGTAGCATCACCGTATCTCCATGGATGACTTTGAGATTTCCTTTGCTAGATGTGAAGCTATAACCTTTCATGTCTAGCATACTTAAGGAAATTAGATTCTTCTTCAGTCTTGGCACGTGTCGGACTCCATCCAACGTGAAAATTTTTCCATCTTCCATTCTCAGCCGTACTGTTCCCATGCCAACAATCTTACTCACAGTGTTGTTAGCCACTCGAACAATACCTCCATCCTTGGCTTGGTAGGTAGAAAAAAGTTTCTTATCCATGCATATATGATATGTGCTTCCGGAATCTAAGATCATGACAAATCGAACCAAAGTGGAAAGTTGACTAAGAAAGAAGTAAAACCAGTTGCAACTTACAGACTGAGGTTTTCCAAGAGCTGCTCCATGCTTAAATGCAGATTCCTCCTTCGTTGGTGAGTCAGGCTTGCCTCCTGCCTTTTTCTCATTCCTAGCCTTGTTGAAAATTACTGTGAATCCCTCAGCTGATGCCGGGTCATTGACATCCCATTCACCAAACTTGGGCAATGGTCGACCTTTTTCCTGTGAAATTTGACATTTCATGATTTCTTGTAGTTTACATAGCGTCAAAATGCATAATCCCTTAACTAAGACAACAATGTAGAGCTTGTGTAGCATTTCTATATGCTCAAATCTGACTTGTGAATGGAAAAGGGAGCTTCCACGCGCCCTCACGCGCCTCTAGAAGTTTGCGCGTGACTCCCAGTCTCATCACGCGCCCACACGCGCCGTTCAGACTCCCGGCGCGTGGTCCCAGTCTCACCCACGCGCTCCACGCGCGGACGAAGGAAGAAGACGCGTGAGTTCACGCGCGACACGCGCCGCACGCGCGCACCAAGCCGCCGGAGCCGGAGCCGCGTTGACCGAGCTGGAGCCGCTGACCGAGCCGCTGACCAAGCCGCTGACTGAGCCGAGGACGTCAGCCTGACGTCAGCAGAACCGGAGGAGTTATCTGGTGCTTCTCAGGCGCACCAGATTCAGCAGATCTGAACCGTTGAAACTGTTTTGGCTAGATCTAGGCCATTCGGAGTCCGTTTTTTGGCGATCCAATAGTGCGTTCCAACTATTTGAAATATTCCGGACCCATCCGTACGGTCAGATTCTTAAATCGGAATTTCTTTAAAAAGGGAAGAAATTTACAATGGCAGGAAAAGGCGCAAGTTTCATGATTGAGCCTTTTAATGGTAGTAATGACTTTACCCTGTGGCAGCAAAGGGTGAAAAACATTTTAACACGAGAAGGTCTGGTGAAAGCTCTTCTCAAAAAGTCCAACAAACCGGAAGACATGAAGGATGACAAGTGGGAGGAGTTGAGGGAATTGGCAAATAGTACAATTCAGTTGTATCTCGGGAACAACACACTCCGGGAAGTCATCAGTGAAGTAGATCCGGCGGAGCTATGGGCAAAGTTAGAGATGAGGTACAAGTTAAAGTCTTTGACAAACCGGTTATCTCTGAAGAGGCAGCTATATACACTTAGAATGCCAGAAGGTGCGAACCTCACAGAACATCTGGACGAGTTCAATAGGATCACAATGGAATTGGACACCATTGGAGACGAGACCCAGGAGGAAGATAGGGCTATGATCTTGTTGGTCTCTCTACCTGCATCATATGAGCATCTCAGGACAACTCTATTGTACGGGAATGATGCTCTTGGACTGGATGAGGTGATTGCTACGCTCATTTCTCATGAGTCGATGAAGAAACAGGAAGGTAGCAGTAGCAAACACCCAGAAGGAAATGCCATGGTTGCCTCAGAAAATGAGCAAGGCAGAGGTAGGTCCAATGATAGACGGGGTAGATCCAAATCAAGAGGACGTTCGCAATCAAGGTTAGGCTTCAGGAGAAAGTGTTATTACTGTGATCAGGAGGATCACCTCATAAAAGACTGTGCAAAGCTCAAGGAGGACAAGGCACACAAGGAACAGGCGAGCTCATCAAATGTCGCTGCTGCAGTAAATGCTAAGGATGAGTATGCATTTACAGTTTCGTCGAGTATGACGAAACCTGACTGGATCTTAGATTCCGGAAGCACATATCATATATGCATGGATAAGAAACTTTTTTCTACCTACCAAGCCAAGGATGGAGGTATTGTTCGAGTGGCTAACAACACTGTGAGTAAGATTGTTGGCATGGGAACAGTACGGCTGAGAATGGAAGATGGAAAAATTTTCACGTTGGATGGAGTCCGACACGTGCCAAGACTGAAGAAGAATCTAATTTCCTTAAGTATGCTAGACATGAAAGGTTATAGCTTCACATCTAGCAAAGGAAATCTCAAAGTCATCCATGGAGATACGGTGATGCTACATGGACGACTGGAGGGGAATCTGTACAGGCTTGTGGAGAAGGTTGTGACAGACGGAGCTACTGTCACTTACCGGGCAAGACGTACAAGACATGCACAGAAGAGACATAGGGCCCAGCAGACATGGCAACCAAAGTGTACAAGAACGCATGGAGGCAGTTCGGAGGTGCACAAGACGGAGCCATTGCGGTCAATTTTAAAGACAGCTTAGAGCAAAGAGACCAAGACAGCAAAGCATGTCCCAGGGAAGAAAGTTTCTTTTGCTCCTGAATTAGAGACATATTGGGATCTCTCCAAGACTGGATGGAAGGGAGAGATGCCATCTCAAAGAGTTGCAAAGTAAGCTTTGCATGGCACCCCAGTGAGGGGGTGCCGGGCACTCCAGGCAAGGGGGTGCAAGCATCTCAGTGAAGAGATGCAGACTTTGTTGAATTTGGGCGTGACAAGATTAGCAGCAGTGTGTGCAGTGGATCACCTCACATGGGTTGAGGGGGTGATTTGTTGAATTCACCCCATGTGAAGGGGAAATTGTCTTGTGAACACACCTTGGTTGGTCAACAAGGAAGTAGGCTACCAACCATGTCAAAGAAGGAGGCTGCCGAAGTCAAGCATGGAGGCTACCCAATGGCACTCCCACCTACTCCAAGGTGTATAAAATGGAATGGTGATGGTGAGTTGAATACACGGCAAACATAGCAAGCAAGAGAGAAACACACTGCTGAGAGAGAGGCACAAAACAGAGAGAGCTAGTGAGAGCTATATTCTGTTTGTGTATCAGAGAGTGTGAGAGAGTGTGTTATATAGAGAGACAGTGAGTTGAGAGTGTGTAATCTCCTCCATTTGTTGATATATAACAACATCGCTCCCGTGGACGTAGGCCGGTTTGTCGAATCACGTTAAAAGTCTTGTGTTTTTTGCTTGTGAGTGTCCCCTGGTGTGCCCAAGATCCGCAACAACTTTATCTTTGGACCATTCCCCACAGTTTCACCATGCATAAACATGTTTTTGACATTTTCATTGCAGTCTGAATTTAAGGTTGTTTGAACTATTTTGCCACAGTTGGGGGTCCTGGTATGTAGAGTACTGTTCATGCCAATGAGCCGCTCACCCACAAATAATGTTTGTCACACCAACTTTTCTGTGAGTTTGTTGTTGGTGTATTAATCTTCGTTTTTGAAGTGCTACTACGTCTCAACACGATTAACTTAGACATGATGCCCCCTCTCTTTTGTTATTTAACACCCTTATGTAAGTTAATTCTTGATCTGAAATACGTGCTTTTCCATTCACAAGTCAGATTTGAGCATATAGAAATGCTACACAAGCTCTACATTGTTGTCTTAGTTAAGGGATTATGCATTTTGACGCTATGTAAACTACAAGAAATCATGAAATGTCAAATTTCACAGGAAAAAGGTCGACCATTGCCCAAGTTTGGTGAATGGGATGTCAATGACCCGGCATCAGCTGAGGGATTCACAGTAATTTTCAACAAGGCTAGGAATGAGAAAAAGGCAGGAGGCAAGCCTGACTCACCAACGAAGGAGGAATCTGCATTTAAGCATGGAGCAGCTCTTGGAAAACCTCAGTCTGTAAGTTGCAACTGGTTTTACTTCTTTCTTAGTCAACTTTCCACTTTGGTTCGATTTGTCATCCATACTTTGGTTTTGTTTTCCTATTTTTAGCATCTGTTTGCATGCCTTTATGCCTCAAGAAAGGTTTAGGGAATTCCTAAAGTTGACCTCTGATAGTTAGAATGACATATTGTGGAGTTGAGTTCCATATTTCAGTCTGATTAATGGTGCTGTTATATGAGAACATATCAATCATGGTTACTATCATCTAGTTGACCTCTAATCCTTCGATTGGCACATTATGCATATAAAACACCAAATTGACTTCATAGGATTTCTAGTTTGTGGTTGTCCATGAGTATCATCCGTAGAGTGAATAGTCCTCTTATTAGTGAAATTCTTTCAAGATTCCTAATAATTCTATAACAACAGCACATCGTCTTTTTTATTGAACATTAAGGTTTCATTTGGATAGTTTTCAAATCAAGGGGTTGGGAATAGACTATTTTAGTAATTTTTTGCGTTTTATGAAAAGATGTGCAATGTGGTAAAGAGGTGATGTGACCTAAATAAGAGGTGATGTGACCCAATTAAGATAAAAAACAATGTGGATGTTTGGAAAGTGGGTTTTTTGTAGGTTTTTTTAGTTGTAGGATATTATTGGAGAAATTTTTTTTTGTGTTTGGGAAGATAGTTGGGTTTTTTTGTGGTTGGATGTGATGTTTGTGAGAGAAAAAGTGAAATGATTATGGGGTTTGATGTGATATTTTGTTTGGATTTGTTTTTTTTGGTTTTGTAACCAATTTGTCTTTTAGTGGAAAAAAACAAAAAAAAAAAAAAATTAATAAAAAATTCATCTTCCCAAACACCGCCAATAAGTATGCTATTCTAATAGGTTGCCAAACAAGAAGATAAGTTGAGATAGAAGATATAAGCATTTTAGTAGCTAGTAAAAAGAGAATTCCTAGCATGATTTCAAATAACTAGTTTTATATAGTTATTTCAAATCCATCATGATTAAGTTATTCATCTCCATCTCAAAACTCACAAGTAAATTATTATATCTAAATTTGAGTTATTGTCCTTGAATGATTAAATTTGAAACCCAAATCTATTCAAACGGATCCTAATAGCCTTTGTCACCTTTACATTCATTTTTAGACATAATTTATGTTAAAACATTTCGTCATTCCCAAATTCCCTCAAGTTTGATTGGGAACTCCTCAATGTTGAAATTTCAATGATTTTGATGGATATATATTTGCCCTCTTTTGATGTTACAAATGCATTCATTTTGCAGAAAAAATGGTTTTGCTGCATGCAGTCTGCCTATGCAGAATCTTGAGTCTTCTTGAGCCAGTGAGGGCTTTAACAGAAAAGCATTATTCATCTCTCCCCACCCCACCCTATATTCCAGTAGACTGGAGCTGTAGTCAAGCTGTGATGGGTCATGCTGGAATATGTTTTGATGCGATTTAAACTCAATGCCATTGAGAGCTTAGTTGAGACAATTATTATGTTAAAATGATAGCGTTTTGTTTTCTTGCTTGATTTTGAGAATCATCATTTGGCTAGTTCATTCTTTTATTATATAAGCTGCAAGTTATGTTAAAATGATTGTGTTGTGTTAAAATCATTTGGCTGCTTCATTCCTTTGTTCATTCTTTTATTATATAATCTGCAACTTATGTTTGTGATTTTTTTGGCTTCCACATTTTGATGAAATCTGTTTGGTTATTGTGATATGTTATCTGTGTGCATGTATATTATCTGTGTGTACGTATCTCTTCTTTCCATACTACCTGAGATCGGCTGGCTACATTCGTGTCTCAAAGACTGCCCATTGTAAGGGAACCAAATATTTTATAAAGACCATGTAAAAGCAGAACAATCAATTGAATTACCCTAGAGAGTGAGAGGTTCAAAAAATAATCTAATTTCATTCAAGAGAGAAAGAAAATGTTAAAAAAAAAAAAAGAAAAAGAATAATTTCGTGCACTAACAACTTTCACCCAGCTTGATTGCATACATGATATAAATCTGTAAGCATATGCTGAAAATTGTTTTATTCACACTCACACACAGCAAAACACACTTGATTGGTTCAAAAAGAGTGGTGAACCCCATTTGAAAGTTTAATGACCCATTCAAAATAGAACCAATCACAAAGTGTTTTGTTCACGCAACTTGTTAGGCGTGTGAACAAAATTGGACTCAGCATATGCTGGGCAACAACAAAGCCGTCAAGGAAGAAAACAAATTCATGAGGTTAGAAATCAGTTTGTAAACCAAAAAATACCCCCCACGAAGCCGAAAGTCTTACACTCTGGATGTGCTAATCTTTCGTTCAAACAAGCGTTGCATGAGATATACCTGGAGGACACTGGCCCCAACCAGTGCTACTGATTCAATCATTGCCTTGTGGAGTGCCCTTCGACTCATTCCTTCATTCACTGCATTCCAGTGGGAAAAAAGAAGAGATTCCAAGGTTAACGAATGAACCTTTTCCCATTCAAAAACATAAAATCGAGAAAGCACAGAGTTCCATAGACGAATAGCATTTTCATCACCAAATGCTACTAAAGCTCTGTATGACCTACCAGAGAAAGGAAGATAACAGTATGATCAACAAGGGTCCTATGATCTATCTTGCACAAAGGGTTCACTAATTCTCACTGAAATATCCATTGATATGTCTATACATACTAGGCAGTTATTAGAGAAGTAAAATTCTGGTATAGTCAGTTTGGTGAGCCACTACCCAAGAATTCATGTAACTTTTTTTTTTTTTTTTGATAATTGGGTATTCGGACTACTTTACGCATACATTGACTAATTCCGGGACCCTGAAGAATTCATGTAACTCTAGGTACCCTATCTCCAAAAAGAGGGATTTCATATAACATGGTAGCTTTAGCATTCTCAGAAAATAAGTCCAACTACGAATTAAAATGAGATCTTGCCAATTGCCAACAAGAAGGAAAACACAGAGAGAGAGAGAGAGAGAGAGAGAGAGAGAGAGAGAGGTACTTGTTTTGCTATGAACAACCAAAAAAATTTAACCATATGATATTCTATGGCAAAAAGGCAATAAATTATCTCAAAAGATTGCCCTAACCTCATTGGAAAAAGCAACGTCCAGCCAAGCATGTGCCTTGCTTATGCACAACACATTGTCTCAATGCACACTAAGTTCGCACCACATTCAATTTGAATTTTTTGTTTTTCTCAATCACACCACATTTCAAATAATACCAAAAAACCTTCATCTTCTCCAACTTTCAAACCCTAACCCTAAGCACCATCGGCTGCCAACCCCCCTCCCCCAGCTGTTTCCCATCCTCGTCACAGCCTCCCCTCTTGTTGCCCCTCCCCTCCCCTCCCATCATCACCACGCCCGCAGCCCCCCTCCTAACTTCGCTGCCCAACTCTGCAACACAACTTGGCCCTTAGAAGAAGAAGAAGAAGAAGAAGAGCCCCCCTCCTAACTCCGCAAACCTTGAAACCAAGGAAAAACAAGAAGAAGAAGAAGAAGGGAAGGTTGTTGGGCTGCGTTAGCTCCAACTCTAGCGGAGGTGGCGGCTAGTGGTATGTACTGAGAGATTAACACTTCCAGGGTTTTGTCCAAAAGAGTATTTTGTTTAAGAGATGAATTAAAAAAAAAAAAATTAGAAAATGATGTGTACTGAGAGCATGGTTATCAAAATCCCGATCCGGATCTTACGATCCTACGATTTTACGATCCATTTGAGTACAATCGATCCGGATCGTGTAAAAAACTCCTCATAGGTAGGATCTTTCGATCCTGGTAGTGGGATCTTATAGGATCGTGGAATCCCGATCCGGATCCGATCCTATCCGATCCAATTTACAAGCCTTGTTTTGTATTGTATGACATATTTTATTGTAAATTTTATATTTGTTGTCTAAATACCAATTTATGTAGTCAAAATAAATAATAAAAATTAAGTAGTATTGAATCAAATAGACTAAGAAAAACGAATTATGAAACAAACATTCAAATATTGTGGTAATTTAAGAAAATTAAATAGTCGAAAAAACAAACTTAGTTTTAGCGGAGTCTAAGGAGAGTAAGATGATTGCAACTTTATCTCAATTTTTGGAAAGATTATTTTTGTGACTCGAATTCGCTCCACCAGGGATGCTAACGACAAACCTTATCATTAGACTAAGCTACTCTTTTGAGTTCTTAATTTATTTTCATATCCAACTTTATTAAATATTTTTTCTTCATTTTTTATGCATTATTGTAGATTGTAAAGTATTTTGTTATAGAATTCTTCTTCTTCTTCACCTTCTTTTTTGATGAACTAAAAAACTTTTACCATCGAGTTTTTTATTGTATAATATTATATGTACATTTTACATGAAGTACTATATTTTTCACAATATCTTCACTTCTTTTTAATAGAATATATAGGTTTATTTTGTGTATACTTTATAAGAAATATTTATTTAAATTAAATTATTATGTAATTTGTCTTTTTCGGTAGGATCTTACGATCCTCGATCCGATTCTACGATCCGATCCTATAAACACCTCCAACGATCCAACGTAGGATCCCGATTTTAACAACCTTGACTGAGAGAATGTGTGGTGTGTAAGTAGATGCTCCCCTCCTTACACTTCAAACATGAATACCATTTTCCTTTTTTACCCCTTCTTATTTGTCATTTTTTCAAAAAGGATAAAAGAAAAGAAAGTGGCCATAGTTTGTAGGGTACCTATTACTTGCCGATCAGTTTGAGCTTCTAACCAATGCTGTTCAAACTGGATGTTGTAAAGAGCATCCTCTAACTTTGAGATCTGTTCCAACAAGGGGTTGAAATGCTCTGCAGACATTCATACAAATCTGTGTTCATGCTTTGATTCAACAGATAAATACAAAACAAAATAGATAATTATCATTATACAAAATAAAATAAGAAGGATAGAAAACACGAAACAAAAACAGCCAGTTCATTGCTTACCATCCTTTGCGTGCTGATCAAAGTATGCGAAATGGCCAACATATAAGTCGAAGTCTATGGTTTCATGATAAGGAGATTTGTTTGTAAAGCAGAAGCGGTAGAGGCCCCTTTTTTGAACCAAAAACTCGTACTTCCCACTGATCTTGTCACTGAAATCGTGAATATGCTCACCATGAGGCCCCTTAATCTGATAATTCAAAGGACAATTGTAGTAGGATAAATGGTAAATGATTCAGAAAAGGAAGAAGCATTAGAAGTAGAGAATCAACTAGGAAATCTAAGCCCAGACGTGTTTTGATAACTATTATCAAATTTCACTAAGTTCTAGGTGTAAACAAGGCAAGTTGTCTAAATACAAACTCCAATGTGAAAGTGATTCGAGAGTTTAACACGAGCACAAGAGGTATAAGCATAAAGTTACATATCTCAACTTAGACATGAACTCTGGCAACCCTAGAAGTAGGATGAGCCCCTTCCAAATCTCTACCCAAATCCATAATCCAAACACAACTTTAGAACATGAACAAGTTCTACCCCAATTGATCATATCATAAAAATCTTGGAACTTAAGTTGATGAATAGCACATCGAGATTATGTTAATATATACATATATATATATATAAGAAACATTATAGCATGCCCTATAATATAACCACCTATTGGAAATGTTGTACTAATATATTTATTATATTCACACAAGTTCACATGTTCTCTAAATTCCAAATTTATGTCCTCCACACCATACACCATTCAACTACAATAGTGTTTTGCAGAGGAACCCAATATAACTCAATAAATTGTTCTTCTGTTTTATTCTTTCCGGTGAAGAAGAAGAAGAAGACAAATTGTGATAGGAAATCATCTTTAAAAGCACATTTTTTTTCAAAGCCTCCTTGCCTACAATCTTGCAAGGATACTAAAAAATGTATAATTATAAAACGATGAACACTATCCAATTCAAAAGTAAAAGCTATCACCACCGGTCCTTCAACCCTGCGTATTTTTTAATAGTAAGGCATAAGACTAGCGGAAGCATTTGACAATTTTATCATAAAGTTTTCCATCAACAACCAACGCAATCTCGAGAATGCCATCTACTCGAAAGAATTAGCAACGGTTTAAGACCAATTCTAGATATCAATTCTCCTTCTCTTTTTCATGACTTCATCATATCATTTACGTTGTGTTTGGTTGGGGATTTGAAGAGGAATTTGGAAAGGAAAAGGGAAAAGAGAAAAGGTAAGCAAAATATAAATAAAATATACTTACATTTTACCTAGTTTCAAACACCTTTTCATTTTCCCCTTCCCTTTCTCTTTCCAAATCTCTCTTTAGATCCCCAACCAAACACAGGATTAGGCGGGAAATTCTCGCCCGAGAATTAATACTAAAATTCTTCACAAAACCATGTCCCAACATGGAAAAGCATACAATTCAAAAATCAATATAGTAATTTAACAACAAAAAATAAACACTATAAATTCTTAAAAAACTATCAGGAGAAACTGTTAAAAAAAAAAAAAAAATTAAAATTTGTTACCACTAGATCAACACCCTGGTCGCCTTCACGCCACGCGGTGTCGGTCTTAATGACAACGAAAGAAACATGAGCACTGTCACCCTCGTACTGAACATGGTGAGAGAAACACTCTTCTCTGTCAATCACAAACCTAATCCCAATTGTCCCTTCTATGTTCCACAAAATCGATAATGTTACAATAATTACATATCTCAGGGACCAAATTGTCATCTGCACATTCATGAATTCGTATATACACACAATGAATCAGAACATATACATATAAAAGTAAAATGTATGAGATCGACGATTCATTATTAGTACCTTAGCTTTTGGACTTTCGATCTTCGTAGGTTTCGAGTTTTCCAACCGATCTCTCTCCAGTTCAAGGATTCAAACGTTGGATAGAGGAAACTGAGAAATAGGAAGTTGGTAAACGACGTCGTTGCGCCCACCAGTCCCAATTTTAGAACCTTAAAAAGAAAAAATTTTGTAGTTGGAAAAAAAAAAAAAAGAAGAGGGGGGAGGGGGGAGAATACCTATTAAAGATTTCCTCTGAGGTTTTAAAAATTACATCTTGTTCCATTGCAATAAAAGGGGAAATTTTATTTCCACACACTTCATTTTTTTCCACATCTTTTCTCAATACACACACTAAATAAATTTAAATTATCAAGTTTCACTCAATACACATCCTACCTTATCAAAAATACCTCACCATCTTCATCCTCCAAACTCTAACCCTAACAAGCCACCACTGTTGTTGTCGTCGCCGGCGGCACCTCTTCCCTTCCCTTTCACTTCCAATCGTTACCCCCACATCTCTCTCCACCCACCGACGCCACTTTCGTGACCTCCGTTGCCGAAATCAATCACCAATTTCCCCATCTCTGTCTCTTTCAATCACAAAGTAGGGCTGTTATCGACGCTACCATCGCAACCTCAAGGCTCTCCCATTGAGATCAATCCCTCTCTCTCTTTTTCTTTCTCACAGTCGCGAATGGGGTAGAGAGTGGAGGCGACGGTGATTTGCTTGGCGGTGAAAAGAGACGAAGACGAAGGAAGATCGCAGTGGTGGGCAATGAAGGCGGAGGGAGATTGCAGTAGTGTGCCGATCTTTTTCTCAGGCAAATGGGGGTCGCAGTGGTGAGGAAGAGGCGACGGGAAAAGTAGTGGATGAGAGAGACAACGGCTATGGAGGGTGATAGTGGAAATTGATGGTTTGAAAGAGTTAGAGTTAGAGTTTTAAGAAAGGGATGCTTTGGTTTAAAAAATTACCTATTAAGGATTCCCTCTGAGGTTTCAAAAATTACATCTTGTTCCATTGCAATAAAAGGAAAAATTTGCTTCCACACACTTCATTTTTTTCCACATCTTTTTTCAATACACACACTAAATAAATTTAAATTATCAAGTTTCACTCAATACACATCCTACCTTATCAAAAATACCCTCACCATCTTTATCCTCCAAACTCTAACCCTAACAAGCCACCACCGCTGTTGTCGTCGCCAGCGGCACCTCTTCCCCTCCCTTTCACTTCCAATCGTTACCCCCACATCTCTCTCCACCCACCGGCGCCACTTCCGCGACCTCCATTGCCGAAATCAATCACTAATTTCCCCCATCTCTCTCTCTCTCTTTCAATCACAAAGTAGGGCTGTTACCGATGCCACCATCGCAACCTCAACGCTCTCCCATTGAGATTAATCCCTCTCTCTCTTTTTCTTTCTCACAGTCGCGAAGGGGGTAGAGAGTGGAGGCGACGGTGATTTGCTTGGTGGTGGAGAGAGACAAAGACGAAGGAAGATCGCAGTGGTGGGCAATGAAGGTGGAGGGAGATTACAGTAGTGCGCCGATCTTTTTCTCAGGCAAATGAGGGTCGCAGTGGTGAGGAAGAGGCGACGGGAAAAGTGGTGGATAAGAGAGACAACGGCCATGGAGGGTGATAGTGGAAACCGATGGTTTGAAAGAGTTAGAGTTAGAGTTAGAGTTTTAAGAAAGGGATGCTTTGGTAATTTTATTTTAAGACAAAAATGTAATTAAAATAAATCATTAAGTGTGTGGAAAGAGAGGAAGTAGCGTGTGGAAATAGAATTATCCCAATTAACGCCGTTAACGGATATCATAAATTGACTAAAATGCCCTTCTGACAAATAAGGGCAAATTATCTACACTTCCTTGAGGTTTAACTAAATTACAGATTCCCCTTAAGGTTTAACTAAATTACAGATTCCCCTTGAGATTTAGCTAAATTATCATTTTTAAATAAGTTATGAAATGCAAAAACACTTATCACACAACAAATTAAGGTTTTAGAGACCAAAATTACTTTTAGGGAACCAAATATTTTTATTGTGAAAAGTGTCGTCATTATATTTTTAGCAACGAAAATTGAACATTAGTGATTAATTATTATATTTTTGATATCAAATTTTTTGTCTGAAAAAATAAACCATTTTGAGATCAAATTATTGTGTTCCTAAAAGTTTATTTATTATTGACATTTTCGAAATTTTATCGTTAAAAGCCTTATTATTGACTTTTTAAGACAAACTTTTAACGACTATTCTCACGACGATAGAAATTAGTTCCTATATGTCTTTTACAACAAAATTTTTATTTTTAGAGATAAAAAAAATTGATCTCTAAACTCTTATATATTGTAGTGTCAGATGGTAAAAATATCATAAAATTAACAAATAATTAAATAAGTTAAAAACACAATAAATGGCTTTCAAAAAATTCTTAGAATATGTTTGGTTTGATTTTTAGAAATTTATTTTTAAATTTAAAAAAAATTAAAAATTAATTTGGTTAAGAAATAAAAAATAAAAAATTATTATTATTTTTATATAATTTTATCTTTTGAGTGGTTATAAATAATTTTTACAAATTAAATATATTTTTTCATATTTATTTTTATTAAATTATTTTTTATTTTTATTTTTTAAATTCTAATTTTTTTTTTCTAAACAACAAATCAAACATGGTTCCAAAAACTTAATTTTTTTTTTCATCTAACGTAATTCTTTTGTAAATTTTATTGATTTATCAAAGGGATTCTAGCAGAGGCAATATCGCCCATCAATTTATATTTTGGTGATATCAGTTAACTATTCTTAATGTTTAGTTAACGGGAGGGGTTAAATTGTTATGTGAATATAAACCTCAGGGGGTGGGATGTAATTTCTGAAATCTTGGGAGAAATCTGTAATTTAGCTAAATCTCAAGGGAGGTGTACGTAATTTGCCCTAAAAAAAATAAAAATAAATTATGTCGTCTTTGGTTTGTGTTTTTGAGATATTATTTCAAAAATAATTTTCTAGAGAGTATAGAAAATTTTAAAAATTGTTTGGTTGTATATTTTGAAAATAGTTTTGGAGTTTGGGATATGTAAATGATTCGATTTATCCATGAATTTTTATTAAGAAATCACAATCTAAATTTGCAATTGTTGCAGTATATATTGATGATTTGAATCTTGTAGAAATTTCAGAAGAGCTTACAAATATTGTAGAATATTTAAAGAAGGAATTTAAAATGAAGATCTTGGCAAAATAAAATTTTGTCTCGGCTTGCAGATTGAACATTTGCCAAATGGAATTTTTGTACATCAATCAACATATACAGAAAAAGTCTTGAAGAACTTTTATATGTATAAAGCTAATTCTTTGAATACTCCTATGGTTGTTCGATCTCTTGATGTGAAAAATGATCTTTTTTGACCTCGAGAAGATAATGAAGAACTCTTTGGTCTTGAAGTACCATATCTTAGTGTGATTGGTGTTGTTAGCCCCAAGGTTATTCAAATTTCAATTCTTATTGATTTTGATTATTAACAAATATTATGAATTCATTTTGTTATTCAAAGTTTTCAAAATAATAGTATACAAATTGTGCTTCAATGGTTTTAGAAGTTATATGATTCTAGAGTGTTGTTTTTCAATGTCTTTTGACCCTTCAAAAACATGAGATTAGCACTTGGTTGCAAAATTCTATCCATGCTTAAAATAGGTCCAAGGGTTGACACCAAGTGTGGACATCCCATTTTTGACCGCCCGCAAGGCTCGAGTGCTTTGTCCAGTACACTCAATGATGAAAGTGATGTTGTGCGTAGTTCGAGGTCTCAATGAAGGGGCCATGTTTAAAGCTCCGAAACAATACCAAACCTTGCATATTCCCATTGATTATACCCAAGAAATCCATTTTTACACATTGTGCCACCCTATGCTGAGGCTGAAACAGAAAAACAGGGGAATACATTGAGGCACAGTTGTGCCTCATTAAGGGCTGGCCATGGCTATTGAGGGGTGGCCGTGCCTTGGTAGCAAGAAACACTGTTCTAGGTGGGAGGCCACCAGCTGTCCATTTTTGAAGATATTTATGATATTTTTGGCTCAAATTCTATAAAAACGATTATATATCTCTGTTTTGAGGGTTGAAGAATTTCAAGAAAGCCTCTATACCACCTTGAGAGCTCCCTCTTCTCTTTTTTCTTGTACAAGCAACACTTTAAGCTAACCTACCACCTTGAACCTATATCTATACATCATATAAACCTTCACACCTTAGCATAGGAACCTTGGTTGAGCCTTGAACACTATAATTCAAGCTTGAGGGTATGCTGAGACTTAGTTTGAATCACAAGCAAAAGCTAACTTCTTTGAGAGGTATAAGTTTGCTATCTTCCCTCTTGCTTTCATTTCTTTCATTTGCTATATAGTTCTTGTAGTTTCATGTTACTTTGATTCTATTCTGAGTGTTTAAGTTTGGGTTTGGAGAGCTACCAAAAGGATAGAGAGAGTTTACTCTCTTTTTACACCTTTACCTATAGCTCAAACCCTTACTTTTACATTTTTTTTTTGTTTTCTACACTGATTTTCAGAGTTAAAAAAGGGCTAAAAATCATGCTTTGAGGTTTCAAAAGTGGAGGGGTAAGCCATCTCTCCTTATTCTTGCTTACTAGTCTTGTTTTCTCTCTTTGTTGATTAGCTTTTTAGGCATTTTTCATGCATTTTTAGCCATTGTTTTTTTTTTTAATCTTTTGAGGGCTATTTTAGGGCTGTTCTAAGTTATTTAAATAGTTCATGCTTTGATTAGTTTAGTTGTTGTCTCATAAGTTTGCCTCCATAGCTTGTTGTCCATTGTTCTTGGCTCTTCTTCAATTCATTTCCATGTTTAAGGACCTCAATTTAATAATCAACTTAACATTCATCTCTTTCATTTGAGAGTTGTTTCAATCGATTGACGGTTATTCAAAACGTGAACTAGCGATTTACGCTTAATGGCTTAATCTCTACGGAGGTTCATTGCCAACGGTGTAGTCTCTTTTTCATGTTGAGAATCACCTCCCGTTTGACATATTTCTCACTTAGTGGACGTAATCTTTAATGGACATAACAATCATCTTGGGCTTAATGGATTAAAGGATGGCAAAGACTAATGAATTTGGCTTAAAATG